CCCCCCCCCCCCCCCCCCCCCCCCCCCGACCCCGCAGTTGACCGTCTTATTTGTTGCTCACAGCCACTGTTCTAGACTGGCTGGACAGGAGTTGTTGTTTACCTTTTGAGAGTGAGGAGACAGGTTCAACCGGTGGGGTGACTTCCCCAAGTTCACTTATGTAATGGAGATAGAATTAAAATTTAGGTCTTTGAATTCTGGAAGTTGTTTGTTTCGTTTTCTTCCCATGACATCATCCTGATTCTGTGTCTTAAAATAAGTCAAATTAAGAAAAAATATTTGACTCCTTCACAGGGATTGGCTGGCAAAAACCATACCATGTGGAATGATAGTACAGACTATGGGGGGGTCTATAGGACCAGGGATGAGGTTTCTTCAATAAGTAAATTATAGGGGCACCTGGGCGGCTCAGTCATTTAAGTGTCTGACTTCGGCTCAGGCCATGATCTCAAGGTTTGTGGGTTCAAGCCCCGCGTCGGGCTGTGTGCTGACAGCTCAGAGCCTAGAGCCTGCTTTGGATTCTGTGTTTCCCTCTCTGTCTCTGCCTCCCTCCCCTGCTCATGCTCATGCTCTGTCTCTCTCTCAAAAACAAACATTAAAAAGAATTTTAAAAAAATAAGTAAATTATAAGGGGAAGAAAAACAGAGGTGATGGGGAGCTTAGAGATTAAAGACATTTAAAAAGCCTATAATTAATTACAATATATGCACCTTGTTTGATCCTGATTCAAACAGAAGAAAGTGAAAAAAATTGGAGATTTAAGTGGTGACTGCATATTTGATTATATTAAGTGCTTAATTATTTTTTTAGGTGCGATAAACCCATGGTTATGTTTTACAAATCATCCTTATCTTTTGGAAATATATACTAAAATGTTTATGACTTAAAAATTGTGCTCTCTGGAGTCAAACAGGGTCTCTACCTGCGTCGCAGTGAGTGGGAAGGGGAGAAGGATAGAACCCAGTCCTTCCCTTTATTTATTTATTTGTAAAAATACTTATTTGTTTTTGGGAAAGCACACGTGGGAGAGGGATAGAGAGAGGGGGACAGAGGATCCGAAGCGGGCTTTGTGCTGACAGGCTGACAGCAGCGAGCCCGATGCAGGGCTCGAACTCAAGAACCTCGAGATCATGACCTGAGCCACAGTCAGGCGCTCAGCCGACTGAGCCACCCACGCGCCCCTCAGTCTTTCCTTTTCAAGACCCACCCAGCGTGGCGTGCATCACTTCCAGTGCCACCCGCTTGGCCAGACAGAGTTCACGGCCACCACTGCTGGGGGAGGCTAGGAAATGTCCTCCTTAGCTGGTGGCCATGTACCCATTTAAAACACAAGGGCTCTATTACCAAAAGAAAATGGGGAGATTGGGTGTTGGGAACCGATCGATGCTTCTACCACAATGACTATAACCTATATCATTTTAAAACAGAAACAAAATCAGAAAAATGTAAAGACGGCTATAAGTAGTAAATATTAGTAGATGTTCTTGCTTTCTTGCACCTCACTGGGCATCTCATGTCCTCCTTGGGGAATATGCAGCTAATTTAGAAATTCTGGGTCTCAGCCAGAGGACACGGTGTCTCAGAAGACCGTGATAGTTAGTGGCAGACATTGGGAGAAGTGGTTCAGGTTAGGGTACATTTTGAAAATATAGCCACAAGGAATTCCTAATGGTTTGAGTGGGGGAGAAGTTTCTCTAATAAGAAATGTGCAGATGACTCCTAGCTTTCTAGCTCAAGCCCCTGGACGAGCAGTGGTGCCATTTACTGAGACTGGAGAGTGGAACAGCAGGTGTAGGGAGGAAATAAGTTTGGTTTGGGACATGTTTCAGGTGCCTGTTAGATTTCAAATGGAGGCGTCAGATAAGGCGCTTCGACTTGTGAGTCTAGGTTTCTGGTGAATAGTTAGCATTGGAGAAATAAGTTCGGGCATAATCAGTGCATAGTTGGCATTTAAAGCCATGGGACCAGATGAGATCACCTACTGAGCAGATATGACAGAGCACTGGACTAGGACCGAGTCTCAGGGACTCTGGCATTTAGAGGCTGTTGAGAGGAAGAGGGTCCAGCAAAGGAAACTAAAAAGGACCACCAGGGAGCCAGGAAGAAGACTCCAACATTGTGGCATCCCAGGAGCCAGGTGAAGAGGGCTTTAGCACCTGTCCGTGCAGCGGACAGGTCACGAAGGATGAGCAGAATTAAGAACTTGTATTACTGTCATTGTTGTCTGCCCTGAGTATCTGCTGTCCCGGAGTGGTGGCAGGATCTGGCATCATCCATGGGAGAAAGGTTTTTGGAAGGGACTGGGTCAAGTAGCCTTACCTTCAGCTGTTCAAAAAAAATTTTTTTTAAGTATCAAGTGGCTTAAAAATATAGATGACTTCTTTTACATTAAAAAACAAAAATCCAAGATAGGCAGCCCTGGGCATATTGCTGCTTGATGAAGTTGTCAGAGACCCAGGAACAGCCCAGCTGCTTCCGCCTTCCCCACTATTTCAGGCAGGAAGATCCAGAAAGGAGTCGAGGCTTGGGAAAAATACCACACAGCCCTTCCTATATCTCATTGGCCAACACTTAGTCACGGGGTCAAACCTAGCTGCTTTCTTGCAGCTAGAAATTAATCTTTTAGTTGAGTGATAGTATGGCCAGCTGAAAATCTGAATTCTGTTACTAAAGAGGGGAGAATGAATATGTGGGGTAACTGGGGGGTAACAGCAGTTTCTGGGCAGGGGGCCTCTCAAGTCAAACCAATAAGTGACTTCCTGTTTGTGGTAACCCATCTCTGTTCCTACTATGAGGAAAGGGTGTGGGCTCGCATTCTCCGTCTCTTTATTCACTCGCTTTCTCCCTCCACTCCCTGCTCCCTTACCATTTGTGGGTGCTGTCAGCGACCCCAACCTTCCCTTCGCAGTGCTTTGTCATCATTTTGTCGTATCCTTAAATATTCTGCCTTTTGATTTTTAGTAGCTGGATAGGGTCCGCCTTGTAAACACCGTACTTTTCAGTTGAGGACACTTGGGTTGTTTTTGCTTTTTGATACTATAAGGAAAGCTGCGGTAAATACCTTTGTGCCTTTTTTGGAGGGAGAGGAGGGGCACATCACTGATGGTTTCTGTAGGTTAGCATCTTAGAAATGGAATGGCGGGGTCAAAGGATGTTAGTAGAGATACCGGTAGCATCTACTCAATAGGTTGACGATAAAAGCTAATAGCTAATAGTGCTCACAACTGCCCTATGAGATAGGCATAGTCCTCAATCCCTTTACAGCCACCCCTCGAGGAAACTGAGGCACCAAAAGGTTAATATTGAGTACTCTCTCAATATTGTAATATTAAATTAAGGCCCGTTAGGCACTACAGCCAAATTGCCTTGCCAAACACATAATGCTGAGTTCAGCTTCCATAGGCAATGTGGGGTGGCCGAAAACACAACTTCTAGTGCATCGTTTGCGTCTTTCAATAGATAACACTGGGCCTGCAGTGTGTCAGCTTTGTGCGTGTAAGTTTATTTAGAAACGCAGTCAAGTCTCTTTATTTCCAGTAGTTCTGTTTTATAAAGTCACTGTGAATATGGAATTAGTGAATGCTGAATGTTGCTTCTGGGAAATGCAGGGTTAGGTTTCCTGCAAGCTTCTGGTGACACATTTTTGCAAGAACTCAACAAATAGTCTTGTTTTGTGTGTGTTTCTATTTAAAGACCCCTGGTTTAATATATATTGTTGACTCATTAACTTTGGACTCACGGCCAGCAGCACTATGACTTAGGCCTACATGAAGCTTCTCTAACACACGCATTTTCTCTGGAAGGCACATCCCAGCCTTCTGATAGCACCTCAGCATTACGTTCAGGGCCATTTTAGACAGTGAGATAGCCAAAAAAAAAAAAAAAAAAAAAAAAAAAACACAAAAAACAAAAAACAAAAAAACCCCACAAAAATGTGAAAAGAATGGCACTGAACAGACCAGGAGTAGGACACTTGTTTACAGTAGGAGAGAGGAAACAAGAAGGCAGAGCGCGGCCTTGTTCGGCCTCAGCCAGGGAGGTGTGCGCCTGGAAACCCGATTTTTCGCCATTCTGCTGCGCGTGTCCTCCAGGGACGGTGAACGTGCCGTGAGTATTGATTTGGGGACTGCAGATACATTTTAGCAAGTAGGTAGGTTGCTGCTATGGAATCTGCAAATAAGGAGAATCAACTGTATCTCTGTTTTCATCAGCCCAACTAATTATATTTCTTTTTTTACAGATAATTCAAGGCACAGGTTTGTGATTATAACAGCAGTGTTATTTGTGGTGATACTGGCAGTGTTTGTATTGCTGTATAGAAGAGGTATGTATACCTTCTCTTAAAAAAAAAATAAGTTTTGGGCACCAGGGTGTCTCAGTCGGTTAAACATCTTGATTTCGGCTCAGGTCGTGGTCTCCCTGTTTGTGAAATCGAGCCCAAGTCAGGCTTCCTGAGCCTTCCTGAGCTTTCCTGAGTCTCCCTAGAGATTGTGGGCCAACCTAGAAGGCAGACTGTATGCTCTGGAGAACTGGTGACCTGTTCACATCCTGTTCTTTCCCGGTGACCAGAAACCCTTCCTTCTTCAAGTCCCAGAGGGCACGGACCAGGTTGTAAATGTGAAGAGTAGGTGTTCTTGAAGCCCCGACACCTTCCATCTCAGCCTTTGCCAGAAAGGCTATTTGCAAGACTGATGTGCGACTCCCTCGGGGAATGCTGAGGAGTAAGCTTTCAGCCAGGGGATGGCATGTGGGATCCATGCCATTTCACATTCATGTCACGGACCAGGTTTGCCAACTTAGGTGTCGGGTTCCCTAGACTTGCACTGTTCAGTACAGCAGGTGTTAGCCGCACGTAGTGGTTTAAATATCGAATTTCATTAATTACATTTAACTTAAATTCCTTTCTTCATTTGCACTATCCACACATTAAGGGCTTGGTATCTACATAGAGCTAGTGGCTACCATAATCAGGCCAGGTAGAGAATTCCATCATTACAGTAAGTTCCATCAGTCAGTGCTGACCTATACTATTATTGGTGTATTGCCATTAGAATATGATTTCCCAGGGATACTGTTTCCATGTTACAGGGCGCAAATACCACGAAGATCCCTAGGTAACAGATTACTAGTCAGTAGATTCTCCTCTAAATAAGAGATAAAAAGCAGCTCAAGAAAGTTTTGAGGCTTTGTCACCAATGAGTAAAATACCTGGGGAGCTCCAATGTGCTCTTAAGAAGGTTATTTTTAATCCCCAATAGCAGCACTGTCGCTAACGTCCCTTTAACAGATTGGTCCCCCAGAAACTAAAATCAGTCTCCGCTGAGAGTTGTGGTGGGTCTGTCACCGGAATTCCTGAACCAGAGAAAGATGGTACTAAGTGCCCATATAATTCCAAAGCAGTTGGTTGATTTAACTTAAAAAAAAAAAAAAAAAAAAAAATTCAGTGGAGAGAGAATGACTCCTGCGGTCAGTGCCGATAGCACTGAATAACCTGAAAAAAAAAACTGTCTTGAAAAAATACTTCAGTTGGCTTCACCACCCTGAAGCTATATACATTGGAAAGGGTGGGGCATTTGGCGTGGAGCCTTCTCAGGGGGCCAGGTGAACGTAAGCAGCTCCGGGGGTGGGTTGCAGGTGACAGACCCCATTACAAGTTCAGTCAAGCCTGTGGACTGTGCTGCTGGGCCGCTGGCATGGCTCCAGATGAGGGCTCATTCCTTTTATGGAAGGAGGATGCCTTTTATGGATATGTACGTGTGTGGAAGCCATATCTTAATGTCCGAAACTGTGCTGTCCAAAATGGTAGCCATGAGCCACATGTGGCTGTTGAACCCTTAGAACGTGGCAGTCCAGAGCGAGATGTGCTGTAAATGTAAAATACACAATGGATTTACAAGACTTCATATTGAAAAAGGAATGTAAAATAGCTCATTAGTAATGTTTGTGTTGGTTACACACGAAAACGATAATATTTTTAATGTGTTGGGCTACTCAGTAAGATACACTTTGAAAACTAATTTTACCCAGTTCTTTTTACTTTGTAATGCGGCTGCTGAAGTGTTTAGATGACTTGTGTGGCTCACATATCCCTGGGCGGTGCTGGCCCACACCATTCTGGTCTCCCTTTCATCTGTAGCCTTGTGCGTGAGCCGCTGTAGAGATACTCGTTTTGTTGACAGTTTGGGGGTTTGTTTTTCTATCGTCTGATGACCAATTTCGGAACAACTCTCTGGATGACCTCTGTAGTTAGTTTGACGTAAGCATTTAGGAGAGCAGCTCGACAGGGCTGTGGTTTAGTTTTCCAGATTCCGGTCGTAACTGCAGATTTCAGCTTGTCTTTTCAGTTCTGTAACTGAGATGGAAATTTCTTCATTTGTAGATTTTGTGAAACGTGGTGGAGAAAGAGACAGAACTGAGTAAGTACCCTGTAGACTGTGCGGGGCGGGTGGGAGGGCGGGGGGGAGGGGGTGTGGAATTGTATATTGTGTGCCTGAACTGGAACAGCCCTGATATAGAGTGCCTTTTGCTTGGGAACCACGTGCTGTGTGCTGTCACTCATCTTGAACGCTAGCATCAGCAGGGACATTAACCACAGTTCCTTAAGCACCACCGGACTAGGCGCTTTCCACCTGCCTCCCTCTCACGCCCTCTCAGTGGGCCTCGCACGGGGCTATCGTTACCACCTGCTTAGAGACAGCGACAGTGGGAGGAAGGCAGGTCCTATCACCAAGCGGTCGAGCTGGGATCCAAACCTGGGTCTTCGGACTCCAAGGGGTATACTGTTAGCCTCCTCCTCCCATCCCAGGAGACTTAGACTGAGGATGGGGTTCACTTTGGGAGCCAGGGTCAGGGCCGGGCCTGCATCATGAACAAAGGATGGGACCCAGACATAGGTAACAGCAGCAATGTTGCCTGAATCGCCACAAGGAGGCTCCAGAAGGGCCTCTGTCCCCTGCCAGGCCCCTGGCGCTCAGGGAGAGGGGCCTAGGAGCTGGGCTTTAGGGGGCAATGGGAAGAGTCAACGCTCAGGGCCATAAAGGGTGGGATAGGGGTAGCACATGTCCGTGGATAGAGGAAGATGGGGCTAGACCGGCAGGTGGGGCCAAGCCAAGATACTGAGAGAGAGTGGCCGAGAGTTTGTCACATTTGTTTCCGGGAAACCACTGAGGATTTCTGAGCAGAGCTACGCTTTAGGCACAGCCCTCTGCTGGCACGGCCGAGGGTACGTTAACAGACACGAGGCTGGAGATGGGGACACTGGTCAGTGGGTAACGAAACAATCCAGCTGAGCGGAGAGGGCCTGAACCAAGGTGGTCATGGTGGAGATACGTGTGGAGGGCTGGGTGTGGGAGGAAGTGTGGAGGTCGTATCCATGGACTTTCCACGGAGAGTGTAGGCCCCCCCGGGGGTTCCCTTCCCTTCCAGCTCACCTGTCATGGGCCTCAGGTCACTTAAACTCTCTGTGCCTCAGTTGTCTCGTGTGAAAAATGGGCATAACAAAGATAGAGAAGTCAGAGTAAGAGTGTAGGTGATAATAGTGTAGAAATAACAACATATACACACAAGTCGATACAAATAAAATGCTTAGAACAAGTGACTGGCTCCAAATGGTAGTTAGTAAATGTCACCATGCCATCATGGTTATGAATTTTATTGTCATTCAGGAAAGAAGCCATAAATGACAGGAATTCTGACCCCAGGAGCCGGTTGCACCCCGCCCCATAGCAGAGGAACCAAACAGGGCTCTTGTTTGGGTGAGTCTGCGCTGTGGCTGGCTGAATTTCGGGTGCGGGCACCTTGGGTAGCGAGGCCTGGCATGTAACTGCGGAAGTAGCTGCAGGGGCCGGGGCTGGAGGCACAGGTTGGGGCACGTCTTCATCAGGACGGTGACTGATGCCCTGACGTCTGAGGTCAGCAAGAAAGACAAACTCAAGGCCCAGGGGTGGCGGGTAGAGGCAGAGGAGCGGGGGTGGGGGAGACAAGTCGGGGGTGGGGGGTGGGGAGGGAGAGCCAGGGTGGGCCCTGCCAGAGATCCTCGGGGAGCAGGCTGCATATGAAAGGTCAGGAGAGGCCAAGTGGGAGGACAGGTGGCCGAGACCTTTGGCTTTGTTAAGTGAGTTGCTGACTTTGAAGAAAGCCACTGGCTCAGCGGTTGGGGTGGGATTTGAGGGAGGACCACCGTGCGGCTGTGGGCACCTGCGTGCATTAGGGCCCTCGGGCTCTGGAGTTTGCTTCCCTCCCAGCTGTCGGGCGGGGCATGCCCAGCTTACCAGGGAAGCCAGCTGTGGCAGGAGGCCTGGGGCAGCTCTGTAAGCTGCGGGCTCAGGCTGGGCAGGGGCAGTGAGGCTGTGAGGGGTTGATGGGCCAGGAGGCCGTGCGGAGAGGCCTGGAGAGGGGTTGAGCGACAGTAGATGAGGCGAGGAGCAGGCGTGCCGGCAGGGACACGGGGGTGGGGGAGGAGGGCAAGGGGTTATGGTGTGAGATGGGTATCTCAGATTGGCAGCAGTAAGCAGAAGTGCCAGGGGAGGGCGAGAGTCTGGGTGGGCCTCTGCTGAGACCCAGCTAGTTATGGCGGAGGTGTGGCCATGAGAACAGTGACTGGGAATGTGGTTCAGGGAGGGCTGTCGGCCAGGGCCCCTGGGAGAGGTGATGGAGTGACCCAGAACTCATGCCTTTACCTGCTCCTTTATTCATTCAGCAAACTTGCACGGAGATCACTCGAGCAAGGTCAGGCACTGTGTTAGCTGATGGCTGGAGATCATGTATCCAGTGAGGCTAGACCTTGCGTGGGATTCAGAGAAGGTGTATGTTAGAGTTCCCACCTCCGAGAAGCTTGCGGCCACATGGGAGAGCATGAACGAGCATATACGCAGAAGGGCTTGGGCACGGGGTACTGGGCCAGAATGTGCGATGTGGCTCGTCAGGGCTGGGCAATCAGCCAAGGGGAGGTGAAGAAGCCAGAATAATCGTGAAGACTGAGGGGAGCAGGACGGGAGTTAGATCTTCAAGCCAGAGTGTGGTGGAAAAGGCATTCCAGCCCGGAGAAGCAGCAGAGGCAAAGACATGGAGGGGAGCTCGACCCTCGTGGTTTATTTGATGGCGAGATCGCCCTGCTTAGCATCAAGCTGAAGAAATGCAAAAGAGGGAAGTCTGGGGCATTATGATAGAGTGGCATGGGAAGAGGGAGCCACTGTAGGTTCTTGAGCAGGAGAGTTTTGAAAAGCACGAAGAGCCGTGCTTTGGAATACTAAGCCTAGGATGGTAAAACTGGCATCTGCAGAGAAACCTGCGGGTCGCGTAGGGGCTCGGGGTGGGAGCTCAGACTTGCCGGTGTACTTCTGCTCACTATCCAAATTTTGTACTTTGTGTGTTTCCTACCTACTTAATAATTTTTAAGTTTAAAGAGCCCACTGTGGCTGCAAGGGGTGGGGGGGTTTCCTAAACTCACTGTGGTGGAGGGGCAGGGATCGGAAGAGGAGTGGGGGAGGGGACAAGCATAACCAGGAACAAATGCCAGATTCTCACATGTCCATGAGGACAGCATCGGAAAGGGCTAGACCCAATCAGAAAACATCAGCCAAGTAGGTTTCAGATATCTGAGGGGCATAATATTACACTTCTCTCCCGGGCAGTTCAATTTAACAATTTCTGGGAGTGCCGCGAGACTCCATTTTTGGGTAAATGCCTGGAAAACAGATCACAGAGTCAAGCCAGAAAGGGAACAGAGAGTCCCGTTTCTCGGGGAAGAAAGAGTTGCAGGCGATGTCTCAGCCTGAAGGTGAGCTGGAGAGGCAGGCCTGATTCTTCGGCAGTAGATACAACAGGTGTGGGCGCGGGTGACAAGGGCCCCTGGGGGAGAGGCCAGGGAGCAGCGGGCCCCTGGCCCTGCGTGGTGCTGCCCTAAGGAGCCTGTGCCTGCTGGGACAAGCTTGAGAAGCACCTCACTCTCTATCTCCCTCAGAAACTCACAACACCTGTATTTCATAGTCCGTTAGATTCTTCGTAAGGAAAACTCGTATTTTGCTCCCCTTTCCCTACTCCCTGTGACCTGATTTTTTTTTTTTCTTTTATGATCTCTTGTTACCAGTGGAGTACAGATATTTGGGGAATTCTGGTCTGGTCTGGGCTGAGCCTGTCGGACCTGGTCTGGTCTAGTGAGGTACGGGCTGAGGCAGGCAAAAGGCAAGAACTGGAATGTCAGTGTGAAGGGGCATGCCCAAGGGGGGCCGCAGCTCTCTGTTTGGGCTCATTTCCTCTGAGCTAACCCAAGACGGTTTGTCATCACTACAGAGATGACTAAACAGGAAGAGAAGCCGAGGAGGGAAGAAAAACCATCCCCAGCGGACTCATACAAATACCTGCTAGAGGGAGTGACAGTTTAATAAGGGCTCTTCAGTCTCAGCTTTCTTATTGGGAAATTTCAATTCCATTTCAATTCAATTTCACAGGCTGAGTTGTTTTGAGGAGAGGGAACTGGTAAGGAGTGCTTTGCACTGAAGGTAGTACCTCAGGTGGACCTCCAGCTCCCATCCCAGGAGGGTTCGAGACCAGCCTCCCTCCATCTCTGTTCCTAGAGCCCTTGGTTTTGATGGGCTTATTATAAAAGGGCTACTCACATTAGAATAGGAGGGTAACTAAGACTCCCGCTCTGCATTTTACAAGTTACTAACATGAGACCTTTTTTTTTTTTTTTTAATAGCTCCAGCTGACTGGTGCTTCAAGATCAAACCAAGTGTACAGTAACTAAGTTATTTAAGTAACGAAAAGCCATCTGGCTTACCATTGAAGTTTGACATCATTTTCGAGGAAATTGTGGAATCCTAACCTGAAGTGGTCCTTTGGCAGAGGGTCTTTTTGGGAACACTTGGTGGGGTGGGGGCGGGGGGGCTCAGTCGACTGAACTTCTGACTCTTGGTTTCGGCTCAGGCATGATGCCAGGGTCATGGGGTTGAGCCCTGTGTTGGGGTCCATCCTGAGTGTGGAACCTGCTTGGGAGTCTCTCTCTCTCCTTCTGCCCCTTCCCCACTCACGCTCACTCTTTGCCCCCCCCTCTCTCTTTCTCTCTCTCTCTCTCTCCAAAATAAAAAAAAGGGTTTTTTGGTTTGTTTTTTTTTTTGAAGAAACATCAACTAACAACCAGCATCCGTAGCTGTCCTGTCATTGCTACTGTTTTTGGCTCCACTACTGTGTATGACCACGGTCTCTCAATGTTTTATAAAATTTATGTCAGGGATGTATATATTGTAAATAAATATGTAAGCGGTCGGTGGTCTGCAGGGACACTTGTCTCCTTAAGATCTCTGACCCACTCAGTACCTGAGTGTTGGCTGTCGCTCGGGCAGGGAAACGGCAGAGAACTCCTAGAAACCGCAGGGTCCTGTGCAAGTACAGGAGAGCAGCCTCTTCTGAATACGGTGGAGGACGGCCCCAGCTGCCTGTGTCCCTGTCCTCAGCCCCTCACTCCGGAGCCCGCACTGCCCCTGGAACCCCGGTCACATGAGAGTCTTCAGCCCGAAAGAGGAAATAACGCTTCTTTACCCCAAGGCAAAGTGTGTGAAAGGCACCCCATGGGACAGCTCTGTCCGGGCCGCCCCGCAACTGTCAGCAAGAAGGAGGCACCTCCGGGCGGCAGAGCTTCTTCTCCAGGTGCGTGTCTGGTTAATCTTGTCAAACCCTTTATTCCGGGCCCGGCGGGGAGCCTGGGACTCCCAGAACATTCTTCACCCGGAAACTTCGTCCCTGTGTGCTCTGTTCAGCCCCTTCTGACCCCATCCCATCAGCACAATTCCTAGTGTTCCCTGCTGTGGATGTTCTCTGCACCTTTCTGTTCTCACGGAAACCTGACTCTCCCCGACGCTGCTCCTCTCAAGGCCCCTCAGGGGGCAAGAGTGAGGGGCCAAGTCCTCCTGGCTCCTGTCTGCTTCCAGCCCACGCCTTCTGCCCCAGTTCCGACGCACCTTCCGGCACATCCCCACCACCAGACATCCCCTTTTCTAGTTCTCTTTGTTACCCCTCAACCTGTGAAGATTGTAGTGCTGGGTCCGGATCACTCGTTCCTAAGGCTCCTCCCTGCGGAATCTGACTGCGTTCAAAACCCCCCAGATCTGCTGCCCTGGCGTGGTCGGCCCCAAGCGCCTTGTCCTCCTCCTTTCCCAGCAGCCCCTGCCCTGGTCCTGCTCCTGACCTTCCTGCACCAATGCCCCCGGCCCCGCACAGTCCCCGTTATAAGCGCACCTGCTCTGCTCTGTGCCTTGCACGTCTCTCCCTGAGCGCCCCACTCCACGGACTCCACAGCCCCGCAGGTGCTGCAAGCCGGTGACCCCACTGCCTGCCACCAGCACACGGCCGCTGCGGCTTCTCGTTCCCCTCACTGTACTGGGTCTCCATCTCCACTGTTCGTCATGAGAGCGACTCTGCTACCGTCACTCTTTTACCGCTCCCACCCCCCCAACCTGTCTTCCTCTGGCCAGATCCCCAACCGTGCGCCGTCACCTCTGCTGGCTCCCTCCCCACCCCCACAGCTGCTGCGCGTTCCTGCCAGCAAATGCGGCACTGGGCTGAGTAGTCATTGCAGGGGCCGCAGACCCCCAGCGGGTCCCCAGTGTCTCTCACGTGGCCTCACTGTGTGGTCCTGGTCGGCTCGCTCACAATCTCCTCATCTCTCTTCCTAGACCTGCAGCCCTGTATCCCCACACTGAGCGGCTCGCTTTGCTTCCTCTGTCACCGAGATGAGAAGTGTCCAGAAGCAGCTCCCACCACGCGTCCACACACCCGGCCGTGCTGGCGGCCATGTCCCCTGCCTCCCCTCCTGGGACTGTGCGTGAACGCCCCTCGGCTCTCCCCCTCGTCTCAGTCTGCCGGGGCTGCCATAACAACCAAATACCCAAGACTGGGTGGCTTCAACAACAGAAATTTATTTTCTCACTGTTCCGGAGGCTGGAAAGTCCAAGATCAAGGTGCGGGCCGGTTTGGCGGCTGGTGAGGGCTCTCTTCCTGGCTTGCCAGTGGCTGCCTCTTCGCTGTGTCCTCTCGTGGCTGGGAGAAGAACCCTGGGGTGTCTACTCCTCAATCCGAGCAGGAGCTCACCCTCGTGACCTCATTTAACTTCTGTCAGCTCCTCGCAGGTCCTGTCTCCAGATAGAGTCAGCTGGGGTTAGGGTCTCAACATACAGGTTTGAGGACAAAACATTCCATCTGTAACACCGCTTGTGGCCAGGACCCCACCTGGGCTACTTAAGGACGTCGCCCGCCTCGTCCACCTGTCTCCCCCGTCATCAGCGTTTACCTTTCTGCTACATCCCACAAACACCCTGTCGTTTCTCGCATCTTCCAAAACCCAAGAGCCTCTTTATTCAGTTCCCTGGCTAGCTCTTGTCTCGTTTTCCCCACTCTCTTCCACGGAAGCGTTTCTCCAGAGAAATGTCCTGTGCTTCCTTTTCTGGACTTCTCTCTTCCTACTCTTTGTTGTACGCACTTCAGTCAGTCTGTCACCCCCACTGCCTGTCAAGGTTACCAGCAACCCCTTCACCGTAGTGTCTAGTGGGCATTTTTCCAGCCTCGTCTTGCCCTGCTTGTAAGCAGCATGCGACGCAGTGGTGCACCTCCCACACGCCTAGTGCCTCGTAGGTGCTGGGCTCCACGGGGGGTGCGAGATGAAGAGAGTTCACACGGTGACAGACCTATGAGCCCTTATGGTGAGTATGCTAAGTCCTCAAATGGAAGTATAGACAAAGAAGTAAAGAATTACAACCAAATGACCCAGCCATTGCACTCCTTGGTATATTGCCGGGAGAAAATGAAAACATGTCCACGCAAAAACTTGTTCGTAGACCGTTATTCACAATAGCCGAGTAGCGGAAACAATTCAAATGTCCGTCAACCAACGACAAGATGGATGTGGGACATCCGTACAATGGGACAGTAGTTGGTATAAAATATAATGAGGGGGGGCGCCTGGCTGGCTCAGTCAGTTAAGGGTCTCACTCTTGGTTTCAGCCCACGTCATGCGTGACCTCACGGTTCATGAGATCGAGCCCCGCATTGGGCTCTGCGCAGAGCCTGCTTGGGGTTCTCTCTCTCCATCTCTTTCTCTGCCCCTTCCCTGCTTGTTCTCTCTCTCTCACAAAACAAAATAAAACTTAAAAAAAAAAAAAAAAGGAATGAGGGTCTGATGCATGCTACAACATGAGTGAGCCTTGAAAACATGCTCAGTGAAAGAAACCACATACTTCATCATTTCATGCATACAAAATGTCCAGAAAAGGCAAACGTATAGAACTAAAAAGTAGATTACGAGCTGCCTAGGGCTGGGAGGAGGATGTTGGGCCGGGGGAAGGGAGTGATTGCTAATAAGCGTGAGGTTTCTTTTTGGAGTGATGGATGAAAAGGTTCTAAAGTTATAGGAATCGTACGACTGTGAATAGACTAAAACTATCAAATGGTCCACTTTCAATGAGTGGCTTGTGTTGTGTGTGAATTATGTCCTAATAAAACTTTATAACCGAACGAACAAAGCAGTTATGGGAGGGGCCACCCCTGGGAAAGAGGGTGGGGGGCACCTTCCCTGAAGCCAGCCTTCCCCGCCAGCTGCCTCAGCCCCGGAGACTCCACAGGCGATGTCCCTTCCCTCAGGACCCCGACTCCATTTCCCCCCACTCTACTCAGGGCTGGGAGTCACCAGAGGACAAAGCGACGTTCTATTTGGAAATCAGAGCAAAGAGCAATAACCCGGCCTCAGACACTAGCCAGCGAGTCTATAAAAGCGTCATGAACCAGCGTTCACCTTGGGATTCTGAGACAGGTCGTCCCCACCCACTGCGGTTCTCCTCCCTGCCACCCCCAGCCATGCTCCCTCCGCCCAGCACACACATCCCCGGGTCCTCTGTGTGCTGCCCGCATTCCTCTTCCCTCCCCCGCTCCTCCTTCGGGGTGCCCTCCTGCACAGCCAGGGCACCCGCCGCCCTCCACCCTCTGTGAAGGCCCTCGGCCTCGTCTCTGCCCACCTCTGCATCCCCAGTGCTTCCCCCCAAGCCTCTGACTCCACCCGCAGCCCACCCCAAGGGACAGGCGGGTGCTGTTGCTTCTCTTGTTTCATGAAGGACGAAAGTGACAGGGGCATGTCCAAGGTCAGTGGGTCACAAGTGGAAGAATGAGGATTCCAGCTCCGGGATTGCAGCCCCAGAGGGCTCTTCACCACCACGCTCTACTGGGAGAGCTAGATGCACACACTCTCCCACGTATGGCTGGAAGACCTCTGAAACCCTCCGTTTTATGCGCCCCCTCCCCCCCCCCCCACAACTGTCAGAGTGGTGTTCCAGCCTGAGCAGAGAGAGCACCCCACCAGGGTCCGCAGGGCCAGAGGGGGAGGGGCCGGGGATGGGAGAAGTGAGAGCAGAGTGAGCAAATGTGTGTGGGTTCCCTGGGCAGCCTGGGTTAGCGTCTGACGTCTGGGGAGGAAGTGTCCTTCCTCTCTCCCCGGGCTTTTCCTCTCCTCGATCTCCTTGTCTTCTTCGAGATTTCTCAAGAGTCTTTCACCCACGGAGTAAAATACTGATGAAAGCGGGAGGGCCTCTGCGTCTTGATTTCGGAATCAAGGGAAAGCACCCCAGTTAATAGTGCCCTTCTCACGAGCCTCCTGAAACCCCCTCACCGCTCACTCCTTCCGACAAAAGCAGTTGGAGCCACGGCATTTACAGGCCTGTTTAGGGGTGACTCATGACACCGCTTGGTCAGCATGCCTCGCCTGGCCAACCGATACTGGAGATGAGCAAAAGAAAAAAAAAATGCGTGCCCCTGTATACACATCTGAACGTGTTTTCCTAACGAGGGAGATTTTTCTAGAACATTACAGTAACTAAAAACAAAAAAAAGAAGGTATATTCAAAGTAGTACTTTTAAGTTTAAATAGCTTGTTTACACCCTAAAATAGTGTTTTACTAGGATGGTCCTTCCCTGGCTTTAATGAAAAACTCAGCAGGAATTTCAAAATCTGCTTCTTTGCTTATTTTCAACGGGGAACATTGCCACATTGAAGCATTTCTCTTGATCAGGTGACGATAATTTCCAACGGACTTCAGATCACGTGTTTATTTAAAGTGTTGAGACTTTGTTCATCTCAGATTGTTTTTGCATTAAGTTTGATTCGTACAAATTTTGCATTAAAGATTATCTTGCTTACTGGGTTCTTGTGGTGTCCCCTTAAATTTCGTAGCTTAGCTGAAGGTCTCGTTGGCCTCACCCTCAGTCCCGGACCAGCTGAGAATCTTCTGAAAGCAGAAGTATCAGGAAGAGAAGAAAGAAAACCAATTCAAACCTTCTTCTTTTTTGAATTTGGATGTCTTTAAATGCGCAGTCACTCTGTTTCACCACGGGCCTCTGCTTTCCAATTGTCTTGCACCCATTTCCTGGCTGGCTCTGGGCCCCAAGCCACGGAGACAACTGTGTGCTCTAAATATGTCCCAGAAGCAATAGAGAGCCGCAGGACAGATGGACAGGGCAAAGGACAGCCAGCCCCAACCTGTGCGGTCAGGGGTCAGTACCCTTCACCACCACCAACCCCACCCCCACCAGGTCCTTCACATCGCGAAGTCATGGTCCACAATGCCACGGGGGAGGCATTCTCTGAGAAGGGCTGGGGTTTAAATTTTCCACCAACGAAGAGAAATGACAACTCAGAGTCAGAACTGAGTTACGGACACTAGAGGGCATTACCTTTCTGTCCTATCTTAGAGTGTGGACTAAGAATCTTGTCCACGAGAATCACCTCTACTGAGCCTCTCCTGTGTCCCAGATGCCTTTGGCCTCGCAACCTCTGTTTAATCCTCACTATAACTGCTAAGCAATTTCCCCACCACCGTTTTCCATTTCCCAGGTGATAGAACCGATGCTCAGAGAGATGAAGTGACTTGCCCAGGGACACTTGCGGTGAGCCGGTGAAGGTGGGCCTGGATCCTCTCGATCTGCTCCGAGTGTAAGTAAGCTCCACAAGTAAGCTTGTGGAGGGACAGAGCCCTTCACTCCCTCCTGTTGCTAAAAATACTGTAGAGGGTGTGCACACGTGAAAAGAAGCCGGGTGGTCCTCTCGTTGTGGTAAATACTTTTATGAACAGTCATCTGAGTCTCAGAAAAACTGTGAGTTAGGCAGGGTCACCCCATTTTGCAGATAAGGAAACAGCTGTAGTGACATAAAATGATGTGTCCCAAGTTACCTAGCAAATTAGGATATTTAAAGCTGGGCCAGAGTTCTGTCCTGATGCTGGGTCCCCTGTCCCGGGACAGTTTTGTAAGCACCCAGGCTGGCCACCCCAGCCAAGCCTCTTACCCCAGACTCGTTGCCAGTTCAGCAGAATGCTACCTAACATACGGTAAAAAGGACGCGATCCTCCGGGTAATCCTGACCCCCACACTCACAACCCTAGCTATTTCAATCACAGAATAATTGATAGAGTCACATAATCAGAGAGCTGGATGTCGCCCACCAAGGCATCTTCGCCCTCGCCAGTTCACAGCGCGTAAGAATTTTCAGTGAAGTTCTGCCTCTCATAACTGACTCGCCAGGCTGCGTGGCCCTGCGTGTTCTCTCCGTGAAATGCTGGTTGCTGTTCCCTCCCAGGGGGCACACTGAAGCAGGCCAGAGGATGCTCATGGCTTCCGGGGTGCCACATACACCGTGTCTACCTGTCGACATGAATGTCACCTGCAGGGAGATGAGTTTGTCCCCAAGCCTG